TTAGACTGCCGGTTTGAAAGATGAGCTTTTGTTCAAGAGTTTTAAATGGAAAATGAGGAGTGTGGAAAGCACTCCGTACTCTGCACTTTCCACACTCCTAACCGTGCTAACTTCAAAAACGTGCTTGGAATTCCGGATTTAACCACAGGGTGCCTAATTAGATTATGTCGTGACGTAAATGACGATGTCGTGATTTTCACGAAGTTCAGCTTGGTTTATCCGCACGGAAATGAATAGCCCCAAACTAGTTTTAATATCCTCGAAAACAACACTATTTCCATTTATCATGAGCTTAACCTGAACCGATTCTGAGTTATACCGCATGGGGAAAATGATAATTAAAAATTTGCTACGAAATGTAACATTTGGATTTTGAAATATTGGTGATTTTTAAAAGCGTTCCGTGGGCTTAGAATTAAATGAAATGGTCCCGTTTTAGACTTTAACCATGCCTCAATCTCCCCTTTACAAATTTTTCGAATTGATACGAGCTTGCTTTCTTTTGCGCTTTTCATGAACTTGCATCAGAAATTGACTTGAAACACTTGTTTCCAGGTGCTTCAACCCTTTGAGATTGTTGTGTTTAATTTTAAGAAAATTTCCTAGATCACGAACACTGATAAAATGATAAACAACAACTGCACTTTTCAGTAGTTTCTTGAACTTAGATATTGATAACAAATTCGAGAAATTTGCGAAGTCGTGTACACAAGTCCTACTAGTGCATTGGTGCGTAAATAATGAACATCTACAATATGCAAGCTAAAAATGTCTCGATCTGTTGCTTAAAAGTGGCGCAAGACTCTACTAGATTGCGTTATAACTCCATTTATCAGTTATTTTATACCTAACACCAGAGTTACAATGTTTGCCGTTAAACGATCACGAGTGCAAACGCTTCTATAGGTACACAAGAAGATTCAATATTATCCGTTTGGTTTCGATTTACATTCATTTCAAATTGCAATGTAGACTTCTTACCATAATATGAGTATTCGTCATCCATTTTCGATGAGGTGCTAGGTTGAAACTTGTCCTTGATAGCCTCTAAATGGGGGAACGCTTAGCTATGTTCTGTCTGACAGCTCATTCAAAGACTGCAGTGAAAATGAAACTATTAAAAGCTAAAAATATATTGCAGTTTCAATCGTAGATATTTTAAGTCTGCTATAAACCTCAGAAGGAAGCTTCGTCTCTTAAGCTGCACGGAGAAGATTTTGACTTTGGCATCAGGTGTCAACACCAAAAATTACACATGTATTACAACTCAGAGCGCTTAAGGAGAGATATCTCCTTGTATTTCTAGTACAAAGCAAGAATATTGTTCCGCTCGAGAAAGCCTCTCTTTTAGAAAATGAATCCTAAAAAAATTCTGAGAAATTGTCGATACCTGGTGTAATCGCGAATTACACCACAATAATTCACAAGGAATCCAAATAAGTTACCGTCAATCCTTACGTTTTAAATTGAGGATTCCTCTACCTTTTCCGACAGAAACACCGTCACGCTGGGCACACGCGCCATCAAAAAAGCGGGAGTGATCGCATCTCGGGACAGCGGACGCGCACTTCAAAATGCAAAACAAATTGTGATATGACGCGTCATATCACAACTGCTTGGTGTGTAACTAGGAATCCCGCAGGGAAGAGATTCATTAGCTCAGTGACCAGCTCTGCTGCTGTGCCTTTTGGTGATTTAGCACTTTCTTCAGTATTGAGCAACTGGAATGGCGTTGTTCGATTACCCGGCGAGAACGTTGCTATGGATGTTTAGATTGTAGGGAGAAAGCGAACGGCTTAGGTATAATCAAACACAACTTAGTTTTTTAAATAGTTCACGTTCGAACGAACACGAGGGAGGGCGCCAGGTCACATGGCCATGACGTGTATAACAATGAAATCATAACATCTTCCCCTTTATAAAAGATAGAAAACCCTAACGAGAAGTCCTTAAAAGCAATCCAAAGCAAAAATGTCTCTAACAACACTGTTCACAAATTTCCTAAGACGTGTAGTCTTCAAAACGGGCTGGCGGTCTAACTGTGCGGCCACTCCTTGTTTCAGTAAGGCTGGACGCCATGGGGACAGTAGTTGTCGTGGGACTAGCTGGACCAGGAGTTGCCTCCAGAATTTTCTTGGAGTGTGGCACACTGGATAGGTTGCTGTTCCTTGTTGGTATCATGTGGTTGTTCAGAACTAACCAGCAGGTTTGCCGCAGGTGGGACCAAACGTAGCTGCCTACGATTTCTTCGATAGGTACGGTTACTAGATACAACAGCATAGGAGCGTGGTCATACATACATGCATACATATAGACATACATACATAGTTTATTTGTTAACGTAGGTTAGTTAATAGCAGCGTTAAGCTGATGTGGACCTGCGATAAATCTAACTTCTATCCAATTAAATTACATGTAATTACGAAAGCCGAGTTTCCAGATGGGATTTGAACCCACGACCCTCCGTGATCTAGTCGGATGCTTTAACCATAGCTACAGGAGACTCTATGGTGAGCAAGGGTCAATTAGTGGGTATTGACAGGAACCGCATCACGCGGCTACACAGCCAAACATCAGCTAGCGCATTACAAAAACAATAGAAAAAATTTACAAAAACAGTACAAAAATCCTAGCATAAATTAAAATATAAGTAGTGATTCAAACTGGTTTACAATCCTAGCATAAACTTCAATACAGGTAGTAAGATAAAATTCCTAAAAACATTTCAAATTTACCAAATCCTTGTTGCCAACTAGAGCAGTTTGATTAAAAGATATCTTCTCAATAATTGTTGAAAGAGAACGGAGTTTGCTCTTAAATATCTTATCCTCTATGCTTTTAACAGAATGAAGTAAGGAATTCCACGCTATTGCAGACCTATGTCTAAAAGACCGTCTTTCAACATTGGAATTTGGTCTCTCCAGAGTTGGTTTCAAATTGTCCCTCGTATTTCGTATATTTGGACTTTTCCTTATAATTGTTACAACCTACTCAGGACAGATCCCATAAAAAAACTTTGTGTGTCAAGGAGCCTCATCTTGTAGAAGTAACGTATGGATTTCCAAGAAGATGGTATCAGTGATTGGGACTTACGAACTCCAAGTTGTTTGAAGATGAGCTTGGAAGCACTCAGGTGAATTTTCCCTAAAACACCTAATTTTGCTTCACTACAGTTACCCCATACACAAATTCCATAAGTGATGCTTGGTAAAATTCCTTTAAAATATATAGACTCCAAGATATGAGAGGGAAGGCTTTTAAACCTGCGCAGTTGCTTCACCTTCTTGGCCATAGGTATTGATAGCTCTTTGATGTGGTGTCCCCAGCTTAACTTATTGTCAATCATAAACCCAAGACATTATGACTTGTTGACATAGTTAATGGCATGACCACCCAGTTTGATTGGTCGTAGAGGAGCAATGAAAACATTACGGGTAAGAAGCATAACCGCAGTTTTATCGCGATGAATTGTTCAACAATTCTTGTTACACCACTTAGCTATTTCAGTTAAAGAAGTTTGGATCTTAAGGCTGACATCATCTATGGAATTACCTTTACAATATAGAGTTGTGTCGCCAGCAAACATTTCCATCTTTCCACAACTAGGCACCTCAGACAGATCATTGACGTAAATACTAAAAGGCCTGGGGCCAAGTACTGATCCCTGGGGTACGCCAAACTTGACTGTCACTTCATTAGATCTTTTCCCCTTGACCTCAACAAACTGTTTTCTCTCAGATAAGTAATTTTCAATCAGATTGTATAGGTTCCCTGATATTCCACAAGCTTGGAGTTTGAGGGCCATCGTTTTATGACAATTGGAATCAAATGCCTTTTTAAAGTCTATAAACAATACCCCCACAGTTTTGGTTTTATCCAGTTCTTGTCTCCAAACTTCAGTCAGGTGCGGCGTTAATCCTAGTTTTTCCCTAGCGAAAAAGTGATCTAGTAGAACTTGATATTGATGGTTTCCAAGTCAAAGCGAGCGATAATGTGGAACTCATAGGAGTTGTAATTGACAATGAGTTAAATTTTAAGTTAATTAAGAAAGTAGGTAAACAAATTGATGTGCTTAATNTAGGTGATAGTGACAAAAACTTTGTGTATAAAATACTGTTTTGCGAAACAAATCTTACAAAAGGCAATTTAGCGGCATGCTGCAAGATCAATAAATTGAAAAAGGATTCTTCTAGAGCCTTAATACTCAAGAGACGAGAACACAAGTGTGAAAACACAATAGTTGATACATACCTACATACATACATAGATAATTTATTTGGTAACGCAGGTTGGTTACTGGCAGCATTAAGCTGATGTGGACCTGCGACAAATCTAGCTTCTATTTAAGTAAAGTAATTACAAAAAAAAGTAGAAAAATCCTAGCATAAATTAAAATGTGAGTAGTGATTCAAACTGGTTTATAATCCTAGCATAAATTTCAATAGAGGTAGTAAGATAAAATTCCTAAAAATATTTACAATTTACCAAATCCTTGTTGCCAACTAGAGCAGTTTGATTAAAAGATATCTTCTCAATAATTGTTGAAAGAGAACGGAGTTTTCTCCTAAATATCTTATCCTCTATGCTTTTAACAGAATGAAGTAAGGAATTCCACGCTATTGCAGACCTATGTCTAAAAGACCGTCTTTCAACATTGGAATTTGGTCTCTCCAGAGTTGGTTTCAAATTGTCCCTCGTATTTCGTATATTTGGACTTTTCCTTATAATTGTTACAACCTACTCAGGACAGATCCCATAAAAAAACTTTGTGTGTCAAGGAGCCTCATCTTGTAGAAGTAACGTATGGATTTCCAAGAAGATGGTATCAGTGATTGGGACTTACGAACTCCAAGTTGTTTGAAGATGAGCTTGGAAGCACTCAGGTGAATTTTCCCTAAAACACCTAATTTTGCTTCACTACAGTTACCCCATACACAAATTCCATAAGTGATGCTTGGTAAAATTCCTTTAAAATATATAGACTCCAAGATATGAGAGGGAAGGCTTTTAAACCTGCGCAGTTGCTTCACCTTCTTGGCCATAGGTATTGATAGCTCTTTGATGTGGTGTCCCCAGCTTAACTTATTGTCAATCATAAACCCAAGACATTATGACTTGTTGACATAGTTAATGGCATGACCACCCAGTTTGATTGGTCGTAGAGGAGCAATGAAAACATTACGGGTAAGAAGCATAACCGCAGTTTTATCGCGATGAATTGTTCAACAATTCTTGTTACACCACTTAGCTATTTCAGTTAAAGAAGTTTGGATCTTAAGGCTGACATCATCTATGGAATTACCTTTACAATATAGAGTTGTGTCGCCAGCAAACATTTCCATCTTTCCACAACTAGGCACCTCAGACAGATCATTGACGTAAATACTAAAGAAAATAAGAAAAATCTTAGGGGCAAAAACAAACTTGTTTGTAGCTAAGACCACAACTTTCGGCCTCAAATCAACTTTTTGCACTGCTGCTAAGGCTTGGAATACATTACCTGATAAACTAAGAGTAATGGCCCAATTTGGCCCTTTCAGGAATGAGATAAGAAATCTAAGTAATTTGTAATTTTATATCACCATCATTTATATCATCATTTATATTTAGGCTTATGTTATTTTCAAACTCTGTAATTTATCTTCATATATTTTTCTCGGTATATTAGCATCTTTATTGCTAGAGGCCTAACAAGTCTCATTTTCATCCGAGTTTAAATAAAGTCATCATCATCATCATCATTAAGAGTTCTGTTGACCTGCCAGTTTTAAAACCCCACTGGATTTTGCTGGACAAGCCTCCCTTATTAAAATGGCATTCAATGGAATCTCCTATTATGCCCTAGTACACTTTGCTAGGAATACTCAAGAGAGAAATAGCCCGAAAGTCACCTCTTTCAGAGCTATGTCCCTTTTTAGGTAGAGCTTTTACTTTACTCAGCTTCCATCGAGGAGGGTAACTTGAGCTTTTTAAACTTACTTCCATCACATACGACAGGCCAATTGCTACAGCATCTCCACCAAGTTTGAGTCCTCTTGAGGTAATCTTGTCAGGACCTCATCCGATCATTTTCTTACAAACTGCCTCAATCCTAACAGTCTGACTAGGTAGTAGTTCAGGCAATGCCTTTCCTTTGAGGTTATAGTAGTAGGCCTGCTTTTGTCTGGTGGCAATTAGCTTTTGCTGCACATCCATGGGAGGAACTGTTGCTTGTTCAAGCAGTCTTGGTGTTAGCAGTAGCAGGTTGCGCGTTCTTCTGCTGAACAGCCTTTGAGCCGGAGAGGAGCCAATTTCAGTAGGTGTAATGGGATAGTCTAAAAGGGCAAGATATGGATCAAACTTTCCAAGAGCTGCCTTCTTCATGATATTTGCACAGATTTTAACTGCACTCTCAACCTTTCCGTTGCTTTGAGGGTTGCGAGGCGAGGAGGTAATCTGTTAGAAATGCCAGTCTTTTGCAAACTTGGTAAAATCGGCGGAATCGTACTGAAATGACAATCTCCGGTATTCC